TGCAAGAACAAAATCAAAACGAATTAAATATAAATTTAATTAGATCTAAATTAATTAGACATTATTATACTGAAAATAACAATAAAATTGAATATGATGTGTGATTATTATCATTATTATATTTAATTTTTTTTAAATTTTGATTAGCATCTTATAGGAACAAAACTAATTGCTTACTGCTAAAAAACCCAATTACTAATAAAAACTATATAAATAATAAACTAAAGTAATTGAATATAATGTGTGTGATTATTATTATTATTATTATATTTTTTCATTTCTTATTTATATTTTCGAGTATTTTGCTTGGAATCTTCTATGAAAAAAACTAATTGCTTACAGACAAATAAATAAATAAAAATCTCACATTGGAAAAATAAATGTTTAGTAAATATATAAATAAATAATAGAGAAAAAAAAACTTGTGTGAAAGCAAACAATGATTAAATTATAATTTGTGTTGGGACCATCACATTTTACAGAAGCCTTTCTATTCCCTCAGACTGAGTTCCCAGATAAACACTGGCTACCTGAGCACATGCTGCCTGACCTGGAGAGGCTACTTCCAGTCAGAGATCACGTCATGATGTCAGATGATATGGAAGAGGTTGACCTGTGTGAAGTAGACTATGAAAAACAAAAGAGAAACCACAGTGGTGAAGCCTGCGATGAAGACGAAGGCCCCAGGCATGGCGTCCAGTGCCAGACTCAGTAAATGTCATATAGAAGAAACACTGGTGCAATACTTGTGTGGCTGCAAATGTACACTCGGTATTAGGCCGGTTAAATTTAGTTCTTGCTGAGTGATACGTACAGCAAGAACTTCCTCACCAAGCCTTGCGAAACAGACCATTTTCTTGCCACCATTGGAATTATTTCTGAAGTGTCTGCTGAGGAGGAACCAGGAGTGTTCGGCAATTACCACCATAAATGAGTATTACCGGCCATTTAATTAAAGAAACTATTTTGGATAAAAAAATGGAATTTAAGTGACTTAAATTTGCATGTAAATTATTCTGTATGTTTTGAGTATGTTCACTTCTGTATGTTAATCTATAGATGTGCTTTGGTCAAGAGCCAGTTGAAAATCTGTATTTGTAAGAATGTGACACACCATATGTTTAATGTGTCGTTTCCTTCTTTAAAATGTGTTTTATTTTCACAAATAAAACATTTCAGTACAGTTCCTCCTTTGTTTACTTGAATATCCATAATTGCAACTGAATGAAAGCAATCTCAAAAATCTTTTCAATGCAAAAGTCAGTTTGTAGTATTCTAGCTAATTTTATATTGTATACAAACCCTCACATCCAATTTATAGCCTGGGGTCGGTGAGATTATTATTTATTTTTAAAAGAAATCAGCACATTTAATCAACAAGGATGCATCAAATTGATCAAAAGTGATAGTAAACATATTAAGAATGGAAAAAAAATCCACTTTAAATAAATGAAGTTCTTCTGAATTTTCTATTAAAAAAAGAATACTGAAAAATAGTTTCCACAAAAAAACTAAGCAGCACAACTGTTTTTTATATGTATAATATTAATAAAAAGATAACTCATTAGCATAAATTAGCAGATTTCTGAAGGATCACGTGACACTTAAGACTTGAGTATTGGATGCTGAAAATTCAGCTTTACGTCACAGGAATAAATTACATTAAACAATATAAAATAGAAAAATGTTGTTTTAAATGATAATATTTCTATATTTTTCATCAAATAAACAGCCTTGGTGAGCATAACAGAATTTTAAAAAACACTGAAAATCTTATCCTCAATCTTTTGAATGGTAGTGTAGATAGAAAGTTTTCAACAACAAAATATAGATGCCAAGGTGCTGATCATTGCATGAGATGAGAAATGAAACTAAAAATGTTGCACTGACTGTTTTGAATACGCTTGAATTAAATTGCAGGATGCAGCTGTATCATGCAGAAGAAACTTTATTCAGAACCACTGAACTGATAGCATGGTAGAAAGAACCTGCCATGCACCATTCATTATCACATTATTCAAGTTCATTCATTGTAATCAATGAAAAGTAAGGCATTAAGAAGTTGCACAATTCTTTGTATTCAAAGCATCACTCCGTCTTCATCCTTCTCAGTGCTGCTTTCTTCTGAAAGAACAACCTATTTGAAAAAAGAAAATAAGTAGCTTGAGATGCTGTATCAAATATTTTGATTTGTAGTTACGTCCGATTCAAAAGTACAACCCACACAGGCTGGATGTTTTACAATCATTCAGCAGATACACACCCTCGGTCAGCCTTGCTTTTCCTCCTGTGGGCTGGCAGAGCACTGTTGAACACCCAACGCACAACACAACCGTTTGCGCATGACTGAACACAGTCGTGATCTTATAACAACCTGCGTGAAGATAAGCAGAAAAGATTAGTGATACATTACCCATGATAAGACAAACAAACGGTTCAAAAGATCTCAAACCTGGGCATTTCACATCCATGAAGTACGAGTTGGGACTCTGCACAAGCCTTTTCTTCTTATGCTGCCTTCTCTCAAAATCAAAGGACGGGTTCAGCAGATCTTTGGCCAGCTGGCAAAAATATAGTTAAAATATTATTATTTTTTTATTTAAAAGAAATTATGTCAATATTTAAATTTATACATTTATTTATATAGAATTACACATATATAAATATTTCAAACATGTGTGTGTATATATATATATATATATATATATATGTGTGTGTGTATGTGTGTGTGTGAAAAATATGTAAATGTTAACATTTTCAATACTTTTACAACTAGAATTTAAATATTTACATAAAATTACACATATCACAAAAAAAAAATATATATATATTATTTTAAATATTAAATATAAATATTAATACATTTTTATATATTATATATATTCTGCTGCTGCTTTATATATACACACATACATATATATATATATATATAGAATGAAAATATTGGCATTTTAAATGTGAGTTTTTGACATTTCCAATATTTACACAAAATTACACACATTTAAAATTTGAAATGCGTGTAATGCAAACATTAATATTTAAAAATGTATGTACATTTTATTTCATTCACACACCCCATAAATGTTATTATATATACACTATCTCCAACAAGATGACAGTCATTTTACTCTCTTAATTACAAAATCTACAATCTAAGCAACACTATATTTATATAGGCACTACCGCAATAACATTAGACACCATGCTTCTTTGCACACAAAAACAACATTGTTCAACAGCCATATTGATCACTCCCATCACTGTCAGTCTGAAAACTACAATACCTTACTTTTAAAAAGACAAATAAAACATCAGTCTCGTCCTACCTATCATTTTCCTCGGTGCACTGCAACAGTTTAATTAAACATGTCTCGTGTGAAGTGAAACATTAGGCCCTATCTGAACCTGCGCAGCGCCACGTGAAATCACAAACTTTCCCATGTTTATCGCACGGTTAAAATAATCAACAAGCGGATTAATATTGAAACGCCAGACGATAGAGCATATATGAACAACTGTCAAATGCGAGAATCGTTGTCTAGTTGAGCAAAGCCACTTACAGGCATCGTCGGCAGCTGCTGATATTCGCATTCGTGGCTCTGCGGCTGCTTTCCTCGAATCTCTCGATAACTGCAGGGTTGCCAAGTGCAGCTTCATAAAGGAAATCTGAAGAGACATGCCCAGACATGCTCCACAATAAAACACGCCTTTATACATTGGACCTTATAAAACCTGACAACAATACAGGGATTTCCCGAATATTACATCTGCTCGACGACAGTAAGTGATGGCGAGCTGGCGAAATGCTGCTATCGGTCACCTTATATCTCTCAACAAAGAGCATTGATTGCCATCAGCTCTACTATAAATCGACATAATAATAATAATAATAATAATAATAATAATAATAGAAGAGGCTTTACAATCAGAAGAAGAAGAAGAGGCTTTACAATCACAATTTGTAATAAAAAAAGAAAAAAAAAGGAAAGAAAAAAGAAGTTAACTTTCTGGATGAATTTTTCCCGTACTGGCAACCTTGATAGTCATCTCGACAGATGGGGCACCTACTCTTTTTATTAGCAGCCATTCCTACGGGATACATTTAGTTGTTAATTGTAATTATTTGTGTTATTATGTATTCTTATTTGAAGGTATTGCAATCTTTGAGTAAACCTGCACCTACTATTTAATCTCAGCTGGCAGATCTTGTGACTGCGTCCCCTAGTGGTTGTTCAATGGCAACACCACTACTATTGTTTTCAGTACTGGACACTAGTAAATGCAGGAAGTTATCAAATAGATAAGCAAATGATCCATTTGGATACAGTTGTATTTATTATTATTGATTCATGCGTTATTTTGAGTGAAACCTTGTTATTAACTGTATTTGGAAATTGGAATTTCTAAGCGTTAATGGTATTAATCATCTATCAGTCTGTCATTTAAAGCTCTTTTATGCCAACACACAAATATATCACAAAATGTAGAAATGCTATAATTAAATAAATAAAGGGTTTGAAAGATCAAATAAATAAAAGCTTTATAATATATATATATAGTCATTTTTATAAATGTGCCTTAAAAAACACTTACTGGTGTGCATCTTGAGACAAAACAAAGACACTGATATAGTCAGTGCAAGTTTCTTTCAGCTGAAACAGCTCAGATTTACATTTTAGTCTGGGATTAGGTTTAAACCTTGTCTGTGAACCCGGGGGTTAATGTCCAAAGACTTTCCAAAAAGTCTTTATTCTTAGTGTTGCATATCAAATCAATATATCAGTATCAAATCTTTAAATATGTTTTAATAGTCTGTACTAAAATAATTCTTTTAAAACCTTTCTAATATGCAGCACTTTCTTGATAGCTACCGCCACGCGTAATGTATGGGGGATTCCGCATCACTGTCCTCCTAGAAACTACACTGACCAATCACGGAGGAGGCATGCGCCGACGTCACAACACGAGGCTCCGCCCTCGCTCGAGACTATGATTTTTGTGTCAATGCCTTGAACAAGGGAAACTGTGCACTGTCATTCATAAAGGAAATACCGGCTTGGTAAATGGCGAAGATTTACGATTACCTTTTCAAGCTCTTGCTAATAGGAGACAGTGGAGTGGGAAAGACATGTCTGCTGTTCAGATTCAGCGACGACGCGTTTAACACCACCTTCATCTCCACAATCGGTCAGTTCACCGGCGATCTGGGTAGAAGGTACTGGATGGTGTCCCGTTATATGCAGGACAATAGTGGTCAGATACAGTAAAGCTGTCATAATTAGGGTTCTAGTGGCATTTGTATTGATAAAGTACGTTTAAAAAGCACCTGTGGGTTTTTTTAATCAATCATGTGATTGTGTAAAACTAAAACATCTGGATTCATTTAGAAATGCATAGGCCTTTGAGTACATACAACTGTTAAGCTTGTTTATGTTGACAGATATTTATTTAAAATAGTTTTAAAATGTTTATATATATATATATATATATATATATTATATATATATATATATATCCTATACACACACACACATTTTATTTGTTTAAATTAACTAGTAACATATATACAGTTTATTCTAGCATATAGACAGATTATATCTATATCTGCCTATATATACAGATATAGGTAGGCTACTCTGGAAACAATGTTGTCAGCTCTGTAAAGGTGTGAGAGTCATATTTTGCTGACCAGAGCTGTATCTACTTTTATCCTGTGATACCCGCTCACTAATGGCCTTACAAGTTCATTCATACAGGAGTCTACACAAGGGAAACATAAACAGTGTATTGAGTTATATAGGCATTCTGTGTTCACGCTGATGGACTCAAGCCACTCAGTACATTGCTGATAGATGTTTTGTTTTAGGTTTAAAACCATAAGCAGATATTGATTTCCATATAATGACTCATTATTCTTTGACGGTGAGAAAGAAGGAACGTGCTTCTTCATGATGCAGAAAACTTGCAATAAACTATATTGATAAGTATGCAGGGTGAAGAAACTTGGTAGCAACCTGCAGTAGTCTTTTTTTATTTGCTTTTTTTTTCAGAAAGATTTTCTGTATTTTTTTCTGTCAGTATGAACAAACAAAAAATGTAAAAAAAAAAAAATTTAATACAGAAACTTCCAAATGGGGGTTTTCACAGCAGTGCCATAAAAGAACCATTCTGGGTTCTTTAGTGAACAGTTCTTAAAAGAACCATTTTTCTTAGTGTAAAGACAATTTTAATCATCTAAAGAAACCTTTTCCGGTATAAAGAACCTTTTATGAAATGGAAAGGATCCATTAATATACCATGAAGGTTTTTCATGGAACCATAGATGCTGATAAAGAACCTTTATTTTTTAGAGTGTATATGATTCAAATGACATCTACTTTTAAATAAAACAAGAAAAAATGCCAAAATTTTTTTTTTTAAATATCTCAAGCATCTTTAAAATCTCAAGTACATTTATCTTGCTTTAAAGATTTTTAGACAAAATACTGCATGAGAAAATTATTTTGCAGTGTGTGTGTGTGTGTGTGAATGTTGCAGTTGTCTTTCGTCTGCCTGCACAGAGAGTTTAGTCATTTCCTTTGTCAGTTTTTCCATCTGATTAAAAAGTCACCGCCCCCTCTGCCTTTGTTTGCGATGCTGTCTTGCAATGGGGTCTCTGAGCCTTGACTTTCTTTCAGACTTTAGTTGTATTTGCAGCCTGTTTATCTGTAACATTCCCTGGTGAAAAGCAGCAATTTTGATGAAAATGTTGATGTTGGGATGTTAGAAATCATCACGGTCAGTCTGCATGAACAACATTTTGGTGACACCATCAGGACGGGGTGCTGGGGAAAGTACGGTTCCTTTGTGCGAGGTCATAGTAGACTTGACCGTGAACAGAGGGCTGTACTGTTTGAATCCCCATCATGCTCTCGTGATATTCACTCAGCCCATCTCAGCATTCTTCCGCCAATGCAGCCGAGCATTTGACTGGCATCTGCTTTCTTGTGCCAGGACGTCCATGACCCCAGTTGTGGCCACTCTGCATACTTCCCCACACTTCTCTGAGCGTCCCCACCTCCGCTTCCTGTGACTGTGTGTGTTTCTCTCAGGGTTGTGATATTGCTTAACTAAGTTGCTTGATAAATTATGTTCCTCATCGTAGTTGTAGCTAAAAGCTTTGGTTAGATTACTGAATGTAAATGTCATAAGCATTTGTATCATTAGCTATTTCCATCCACACATTTATATGCGCATTTTGGGATATTGCATAATAAACGCTGGATGGAAACGCCAAGATGCACATAAATAAAAATAAAAAAAGTGCATAAAAAACGTATGCGCTCAAATAACCCTGTTGAAAAAAAACCAGCATGGTTAGGTATGTTTTGAAGAATGGCTGTTGATTTGAGCTGGTCCTTAGCTGTGCTTGTCCTAAGCTGGTCCTAAGCAACTAGCTCCTGCTCAGGACCAGCTTAGGACCAGCACTTGACCAGATTAAACCAGCTTAAACCAGTTTAAACCAGCTCAAACTAGCAGCCATGCTTCAAAACATACCTAACCAGCATATGCTGGTTTTTTTCAACAGGGAAGTAGGATACATTTCTTATCAGTTCTCCATTGTTTCACCGCCGGAGCAGATGTAGACAAAAATGACTCCTAAGCGATTGAAGTGTTTTGTTGTTGGAGGTAATAATGAACATAGTAGTCGTCATTAACTCCCGACATCTGAGCCACTGAAGAAGCAGTGGATTACGTTTGTTTGTGAAGGGAATGCACCCCTGATCTATATAAATGCGTCTATGTTCGTGCGAATCATTCGTGATCCATCCTCACCTACAGAAGAAGTGAGTATAAGGTTTTTTATGAATCTTTGCAAATCGTCTTTCCTAATAACGTGCTAGTTAGCAAGTTTCACAATGAATGCGGCTAAAGTTTACCGTCTCTCAGAGAATGGCTCGGAAGAGAGGGGCGGGGTTAAGAGAGCTCATTTGCATTTAAAGCGGCATGCTACAAAACAGTTTGCTCTGAAAAGAGCTGTTTTTGACCGGGTAAAAAGGGTGTTGTTTTACACTACCATTGAGAAATTTTAACCAAAGTATGTTATAGACTTTTCATTAAGACCCTAAAGAATCATATCAACTTGTGGAAAATGGGCATCCGATGACCTCTTTAATGCACATCAAAAAAGACATGTGACTTTGTGATGGGACATCATACCTGGATCTCATTGATGGATTTCATTGCTAAGCATCTGAAATGATAGTTTTGTCGTTCTAAAATGCTTGAGCAAAGTCTCGTCAAAGTGCTTCGTTACAATTAACTCCCAGAACTGTTCCCAAACAGCAGGCTCCCAAAATAAGATAACATGAGCGCGCTTTGTCTGCGTGCTCTGAAGCTCATAATTTATTGGATAAAAACATTATTATATACAGTGCCTTTCAGTCACATAGCTAGTGACTGAAACAACATTTTCTGAAGAAAATGTGGTGTTCGCTCAATCAAAACAGTACAAAAGCATTGTGGATGGTTATAAGTAACTAATATAATGCTTGATAAAGGGCTTGTTATGCTCTTCATTGTAGCTGTAGCTAAAAGAATCTACTGAATTAGTGAATGTAAATGTAATAAACATGTTTCAGTGACCTAAACAACTCTATTACGTTTTCTGAAGAAACTGACTAAATCTCCTATGACAACTTGCATTGTTACATATCATCGAGTCTGAGAAAAGAACATAACGCTGCAGACAACATGTAAACGCCGTTATTGCTGTTTTCCGTGTTCGTGGAGTAAATATTTGTACACAGCTTTTTAAAAATGGCGGGTAGCTAGCTAGTGTTTCGTAAGCGTTTGGCCAATCAGTGGACCTTTATTTGCCCGACAAAATTTTACTGAAATACATTGCTAATATGACCACACCTCCTTAAAAAAAAAAGATACATTTATTTGTTCGACAAAATGACACGAGGTAACAAAATTTAGTGAGGTTTGTGCTTAAGATAAGAACCTTTTTCGGTATAAACCTTTTGTTTACCAGCCCAGATCTTCAACCACTATATTGTTGTAGCATTAGACATTTTTCCACAGGAAAACCACAATACAGAGTCACTCATTTGACTAGTTGTATTGAGTGTAAGACATATTATCTCTTTGATTTCTCTAAGGTTCTACTGAATGCCACATTTTGCATCATAAATAAGCTTTGAATCCTCCATCTTGATTGTTTTATTGATTGGAAATCAATCATCTCTCAACACCATCAATAGGCTTTAGATGTCATATATACAGAGCAACCTAAAATGTTGAGTATATTGTTGCATGGCACACAGCATTTGTGTGAGGCCTGGAATACAGAAAAACAAGCAATTTTCCACTAACCAGCAGGGCAAAAAATGGCAAGAGGAGCAGTTTAACCCCAGGAACTGGAAACAACTCATCTATATCTTCACCACTGCAGTGCAACATTGATTATATCATTGATTCCATGTGGTGCCAGTCATTGAAGATCTGACGATGTTTCTCTTTTTCTCTGTTGCCAGGAATTGATTTCAAAATCAGAACTGTTGAGCTGAACGGGAAGAAAATCAAGCTGCAGATATGGTGAGCCATTTGTCTGTCATGAATATGCAGCGATATGTCCTGTTTTATATGCGTCCCGTTATATCATCATTTACACATCATCTTCAGAGATATTTAAAGCTGTGTAAACTGTTAGTGTATTATTCACATCCTAAAAAGACTTTCTGAATATAGAGAACACAAGTTTTTGCACATAGGCAGAGTTTGGTGCTTGTAAGTAGCTTTGAAGCTATTAAGCTATTGTAGGCTACTTCTAAAAGTTTAAGAAAAGACACCTCTAGCATATTTGTAATTACACTTTTTAATAAAGCTGTGACTTAGAACATTTAAAATATATTAGCTTTGTAATAGCTAAATGTACTATCAAATAATTCCAATATAGTACAGTGTAATTAAGTACTTAAGTAATCATGTGTACTTTTTAAAGAACACCAAATAGTAATTAAATTAATGATCGTAACTAAACGTACATTAAAGTACAACTTTTAATTTGACTTTATTACAGAGTAAACCTTTTAAAAGTGCGTTAAATTCACTTAAGTCCCTGTTGAAAAAACCAGCATATGCTGGTTAGGTATGTTTTGACGCTGGGATGCTGGTTTAAGCTGGTCCTTTGCTGGTTTAAGCTGGTCCTTTGCTGGTTTATGCTGGTCCTTTTGCTGGTTTATGCTGGTCCTTTGCCAGCACATGACCAGCTTAAACCAGCAAAGGACCAGCACAAACCAGCAAAGGACCAGCTTAAACCAGCATTCCAGCGTCAAGCGGCTTTTTATTTCAGCAATATTATATCATCTCCAAGTAGTTTTATAAAAATATACTTTATAAGTGTAAGTGTTTTATAAATATACTATATATAAGTGCATATTCAGTACAATTAAGTGCAGTTTCTTTCCCATCTAAATTACAACTACAACTTGCCTGTGATTAGCAGAGGCAAGTAGCTAATCATGAGCTAGCTATATGCTAATTAATTTCTGTACTTCGTTCAAAGCACTACAAAGGAGGTTTTTGGCCTCCTACAATGCTGATATATCAGTTAGAACTCGTAAACTCAGGTACCTGGTTAAAACATCCATTTTCAAAATCTTTTAATATGCCAAATAGATGATAATCTAGAACTATAAATGGTCAAATAAGTAATTTCTCATTCTGTTTTCCACTTAGCTTGCAAGTTAAACAGTTAGCAGGCAAGCTTTGTGTAGCCCTCATCAATCAAACTGCTAGCTTAGCATACCAGTAACCTGCTATCATAGCATTTCACAAGCCCATTATTCTGCTAGTTTAGCATACACTAGCCTTTTAGTCAAATTTTTAAATTTAGCCACTAGACACAGCTTAGCATACTTTAACTGCTTAGTCTGATAGCCTACATATATACACAAGTTACTAGACTACACTGACTAACCTGCAATTATAGCATATGGCTAGCCCATTAACCTGCCCTGTTGAAAAAACCAGCTTATGCTGGTTAGGTAAGTTTTGACGCTGGGATGCTGGTTTAAGCTGGTCCTTTGCTGGTTTATGCTGGTCCTTTGCCAGCACATGACCAGCATAAACCAGCAAAAGGACCAGCAAAAGGACCAGCAAAGGACCAGCATAAACCAGCAAAGGACCAGCTAAAACCAGCAAAGGACCAGCACAAACCAGCAAAAGACCAGCTTAAACCAGCATCCCAGCGTCAAAACATACCTAACCAGCATATGCTGTTTTTTTCAAAAGGGTGCTAACTTACTATGTATGTGATATCACATTACACATTGTGGCTGGCCTTCCTGATAACAGTCGTAATGCTCACGCTCCCTGTCCAGTTAGGTGACTAATGAAGGATGAGACGTGCAGATGATAGTGTCATGGACAGGCTGTACATCCGTACCTCTCTCTCTATCTACAGGATGTTTATATTAAAAGCTGGCAAAGAGCAGGGTGGGATTCACTGTAAACGAATGTGAAGTGTTGAGGCCGAGCAGGGTGACAAAGGAAGGAAGGAACAAGGATGCATATACTATTTGCGTGTGACTGTCTGATTGTTTTACAGGGACACAGCAGGACAGGAAAGATTTAGGACGATCACCACGGCGTACTACAGAGGCGCTATGGTAAAACACCACTGGCTACTACTCATGTATATATGTGAAAGTGAGGATCACTGAAGATGGATGTTTCATATTTTCTGCTTGCTTTGTTTTCAGGGCATTATGTTGGTATATGACATCACCAGTGAAAAGTCATTTGAGAATATTAAAAACTGGATACGCAACATTGAGGAGGTAACACTGGAAAATGTTCACATATTGATTTGTGTAGTGTTATAATTTACATTAACGGTCCTGGTTTCTCATTGGTTAATACATTGCAGTCCAATCATATTAGGGGGCCATTGTATAATATGCTTGTTACCCACTCTATAAATGTATAACAAATATAATTAGTTTATTTGATACATTTGTTAGAGAATTTAACTTGGAAGTGCTGAACTTCTCAATCTAATTTCAGTTACTAATTTCAGCATGCATCATCTGACGTAGAGAAGATGATCCTCGGAAACAAATGTGACATGAACGACAGGAGACAGGTGTCCAAAGAGAGAGGAGAGAAAGTGAGGCCTCTCACGTCTTACAAACGTATAGTTTTCCATACAAGGAATAAATAATTTAAAAAGAGTAATATAACATAAATCTTTTAAAATAAGAAGAACAAATAAAATGCCTAAATGTCATTCTTGTAACACTACCTTTTTATTATAGGTATAGTATTTTGAATCAGATATTCAGTATTTTGAGTGATACTGGAACGAATTTTAATGATATATTTTGTATTTTTATAGAAATATTTGATCTAGTAGTTTTTTTGTTTTTGTTTTGTTTTTTGAACATTTTGTTTTGACAACTGTGTTGTCATCTTTTTACTTTTTGTCCAGTTGGCAATTGATTACGGGATCAAGTTTTTGGAAACAAGTGCAAAAACCAGCGTAAATGTCGAAGAGGCCTTTTTCACACTTGCTAGAGACATTATGGCTCGACTTAGCAGAAAAATGGTGAGTGTTTTTTGAAGTTTTTTGTAAAACTGGCAAAAAAAGAAAAAACTGTATTTGACATTTATCATTATTTGTATTAAAATTATTTGTACAAATGATTAATATATATATATATATATATATATACATATACACTATATATATGTCATGAATCATTATTACAATAAATCACATTTTAGAATGATCACTACTGTGGGTAAAACAAAAAAACACATTGTTTTATAATTGCACTTAGTTTGATTACTATGGAAGCCCATTTCCGCCACTGAATAACATTTTTTAAAAGGTTATTGTGACTTTTTATCTCACAATTCTGACTTTTTTTCTCAGAATTGCAAGTTTATATCTCAAAGTTCTTACATCATATCTCATGAAAAAGTCACAATAACAAGAAGAAAAAAGTCAGAATTGCAAGTTTATATCTCACAATTCTGACTTTTTTTCTCAGAATTGCAAGTTTATATCTCAAAGTTCTTACATCATATCTCATGAAAAAGTCACAATAACAAGAAGAAAAAAGTCAGAATTGCAAGTTTATATCTCACAATTCTGACTTTTTTTCTCAGAATTGCAAGTTTATATCTCACAATTCTGACTTTATAATTCGCAATTGCGAGTTTATATCACGCAATTCTGAGAAAAAATCTGAATTGCGAGTTTATATCTCACAATTCTGACAATTTCTCGCAATTCTGACTTTATAACTCGAAATTGTGTTTGTATCATGCAATTCTGAGAAAAAAAATCAGAATTGCAAGTTTTTATCTCACAATTCTGACAATTTCCCGCAATTCTGACTTTATAACTCGAAATTGTGAGTTTGTATCATGTAATTCTGAGAAAAAAAATCAGAAGTTTATATCTCGCAATTCTGACTTTATAATTCGAAATTGTTATGTCTCGCAATTCTGACTTTATAACTCGAAATTGTGAGTTTGTATCATGTAATTCTGAGAAAAAAAATCAGAATTGCAAGTTTTTATCTCACAATTCTGACAATTTCCTGCAATTCTGACTTTATAATTCGCAATTGTGAGTTTATATCACTCAATTCTGAGAAAAAATCTGAATTGCGAGTTTATATCCCGCAATTCTGAATTTATAACTCGCAAATATATCTCGCAATTCTGACTTCAGTTTATATCTCACAATTCTGACTTTATTTTGCGAGTTAATTGCGAGTTTATATGCTTTAAAGTATGTTTAACAAACTTTTCTAACTTTTTAACTTGAAATTGTGAGTTATTAAGTCAGACGTGAGAAAACATCAGTCTTTTTTCCCCTCAGAACTGGACTTTATATCTCACAATTCTGAGAAAAAAGGTCAAAATTGTGAGTTTGTATCTTATAATTCTGACTTAATTTCTTGCAATTCCGACTTTATAACTCACAATTGTGAGTTTATATCACACAATTCTGAGAAAACAAAATCTGAATTTAGTTTATATCCCGCAATTCTGACTTTATAACTCGCAATTCTGACTTCAGTTTATATCTCACAATTCTGACTTTATTACTCACAATCGTGAGTTTATATACAGTATATATATATATATACATATATATATATATAATTTTTTTTAATTTTTTTTATGTTTAACAAAGCAAAATTAAAATGTTTCTATCGTTCTGTTGACTAGAATGATGGTGGTCAAGCAGATAGCGGAGGGCCGGTGAAGATTTCAGAGAAGCGCTCTAAAAAGCACAGCATCTTTAAGTGTGCTCTGCTGTAACGCTTTTACGGCAAGTGTATACAGTACGTTCACTCGCTGTGTGTCTGCGGCAGCCAGAAATGCTCTGCTGGTATAACGTGTCACACGAGCCCCTGCAAAGAGCTGGACTATCAGGCTCAAGAACAGATGAAGGATCGTCTTTCCAAGCTCTTAAAGTCAAGATGGAACAGAGGAATGATGCAGCTTTGAGAGATTTAGTCAGTTCACTCGGTGGTAGAGTCACAATGGGAAACGTTTCCTTTGTTGTGTGGTGATAATCGTGATGATTGTGTTAAAAGATAATGGATCAAATACGAATGTTTGCTTTTTTTTAAATGTTATTGTAAAGTATTCTATATGGACACAGCACATGCTGTCTTAAAACATTTGCTGCTGAAGGCTTAGATGTATCATGTACAGTATGAATTAGTCAGTGAGTCTGTCTTGTTGTAACATGTTCCTGGGTGTCTTTTATACAGTATATACACTGTGTTCTTGCACTGGTTCAAAAAATGTAATAGAGAAAATCTGTAAAAGACCATTTTTGGGATGCCAGTGGGTTAAAAGCACTTTATATGTGTTTTTAATGAGCTCTCCTCACAGGCACGTCCATGTATAGCACAGACGGACATCAATCCATCTGCAGGAAGGTTGCAAAGATAGAACATGATGGCTGCAGTGCATGATGGGTGAAGGAACATCTTCAGGTCAGGTATCAAAGGGAACACGTATTACTTGGCAAAATCACAGTCACCCGTAGAAAGTGTGTGTCTGACACATCTAAACCTGAGAAATTGTGCCTGTGTTGTACTGTAGATCCTTAGCCTTAGGGTGATAAAATATAGGGTTTATATTAAAATTCAGTCTAGCACTGATCTGTGAAAATTGTGTGACAATTTTTGAATATGATAATGATCATTCACTAATTAATTAGCATTTAAATTAATGTTTTAATTTGAGAACAGGCTGCTTGGCCATGTGAAATCAAGTATAGAGACTAGGGTCTTGGTGTCAATGCTACAGTATGTTTTGTATTTTGCTAAACAGGAAAGCCACTAACGCATGCTTATGAAAATTCATCAACGAAAACTGACCTTTTTTTCTATTCCAGCTTGATATTTTTCATTTGAGCTCTTTTTCATTTTTTTGTTCAATAACATCCAGTGCATAAGGTTATATACTCAATGTACAAGCAACCTTTATTTACTGTTTACATATTTTTCACCATAGCCTCTTACAGAAACATAGTTGCCAAAAATTGGTATTATGCTTTTTTTTTTTTTTTTTTGCTTGTACTGTGATTATGTGTAGTTGTTTTAGTCAAAGGTTGCAGGGTGAATGCAACTGGTTAAATCAGCACTTTTGTTTTCAAACGTGTGAGACATTTCGGTCTCCTATTCAAACTTCACTAATAGTTGTGTCAGAAGAAGTAGCACAGATTACAGCAATAAAACATCCCCATTTGGTAATTATTTCTTCCGACTACTTGTGCTGATATTGGGGACCTTAATGCCTTGGAACTGGATCTACTGTATTAATCTGAGTTGGACTGTTTGAATCTTCGAAATAAATTTTTGGTGATCGTCATTTCACTTTGACAAATGTTACATATCATGACCACTGATATTCAGATGGGACCATTGTTATGCATGTATTTTCTTTCATATTTGTGATTGTATGACCGAATTTTTAAGAAATGACGTGTTGTTATTGGACTCTATAATGCGACCCGTTTCCTGAAAAGCTACAGTATGCTTATTTAAACATGTTGAAACCTTAACAAAGAAAATGTGAACAAGAATTTGAAGTGTGGTTTTATTAACTGTGGACTTTTATACTACATATAACCAAAGTAAATACTGTATAAACTTATCTTCTGCTTATTTTTTTCTCGTGTAAAGTTCTTCTTTTATTTTTCAGCAGTTCATCATCCAGAACAACAGATGGTGCTATTACACAGTCTTATTCCCACAATAAACAGAATGCACCACTCATACAACATGCCAACTCCAACCATTTTGCATTGCGGTAGACTCATTTTGTCCTTTGACTAGTTCAGTTTGCATAGCCTTACTTTTTAGCCCATAAAATTTCATAATACTGTCATTTTACCAGTCAAAAAACATCTAAACCATAATACATAAATTACATGATGAAAACCAGAGCAGTGAGCAGGGATACATACCGTCACGATGTATTTTGTACATTAAATACATATACTGATGGAAATACTTTAAGTGCAAGCACACAAATAATGGATAGTTGATACTATGGCTTCAGAGATTTGCTACTCGGTTAACTTGATCATGACACCTGAGTGCATACTGTTAATGTAAGTATATAGTTTTATAGGTGGATATACAGAATTTAATGTGTGTGTCATTCTTGTCTGTTGAATTTCTGTTCTTATTGGACTCCCTCTGGAGTGTCTGGTCACGGTTCATCTGATGGTGCATCATCTGTTGTCTTCTGTGCTGGTTTACCTGGATCATCAGGAGAGTCCCCAAATGTTCCAGCAAGGTCTCTTTCACTGCTTGATCCGTGGGCTCTTTTCAAGCTGTTTCCTAAGGACTTGCAAGGTTTTGTGGACCAGCTTTTAGATCTTCCAGGGAGGAACATTGTGTCTTCTGGCAGTAGCAGATGGCTACCATCAGCTTGGACTTCAGAATCAAAGGGACCTACACCTGTTGGTATCTCCTCTGTTTGCTCTCCGTCTTGCTTCTCTGAACTTTCCTCCTTTCCAAGACCTCCTTCAGGATCATCTGGTTCCTTTGTCACTTCCTGTTCAGTATCTTTCAGGCATTTGTCCACATTGTCACTCCCTTCTTCCTGATTTACCTGATCTACATCAAGTGATGCCTGTCTTCCAGTCGTCCCCGCTGAGTGTAGCTCTTCACCCTTTCTTATCCCATCTTCAATAATTGACTGATGTCGTTCAAGATTCACTGATCCATCTGAACTGTCCATTGTCTTCTCCCCATCTTGCATTCCCATCTCATCTATACTATGTCTAGAAGAAACTCTCAGCATTTGTTGCTCAGGCTGGTCAGAATGTTGCTCTACCTTGAAACTGTTGCTAAATTGGTCAATCTGGTCTACCAAGGGTCTTACCGTTGATACCTTTGGCGCCTGACCAAAAAGACTAGGGTGTACCTTATACTCATAGCCAGCACTCCAACGTCTTGTAGCTGGAGACCCACCCATTCCTTCTCCTTCTAGATTTGGTTCTCTTCCACTTGCTTGATCAAATGAGATTGTGCTCCAACACCTTCGTACAGTGGACGGGGATGTGCTTTGTATTTCTCCGGGATAGTATTTAAAAGCTTTCACCTTTTCTAGAGGGTAGGAGGTAGTCGCCTGAAGTTTTGCTCTCTCCATGATCAAGGCTTCTTTCAGTGTGGCTCTATCTGAAGAAGTCTGGTTGTCAGGAACTGTAGATTTGGGTGATTCTGGCTTTGTCCCTTCAACCTCAACATCCTTATCACAAGGGAAGATTCGGATGTCCACACATGAGCCAAGGCGTCTTTTTACCCCTGGAATTTTCACCTCTAGAGTCTGGCCATATTCCTTTGTGTTGAGGTTTGTAGTGCTTATTGTTTTACTCAGATCTGCCTCTTTCTCCTCAGGTGGACGGTCATCAACACCCAAGTAATAGCGGTAGAGGCTGTACCCATCAGCACTGTTGATGCTACTGTGACGTTGGAGAGAGGAGGGGTCACAAATAGAGGAGGCCGATGAGCGTGTCCGGGTGAGTTCGGAGTGGTCGATTCCCACCAGTCTTTCCAAGGCATTCACCATTCGGCCATTAATGTCTTCCAGCTGGGACAAACGAAGGTCCACTGTCTGAAGGGAGGCCTTCATTGTGTTCTCCCTCTCATTCACCTCCTCAAGGCGCATGGACATGTTCTCCACCCTGAGCATGAACAAGAAGATTGTGTAAATGTGATGATTGAATAGATAAGAAGTTTGCAGACTGGGATTTAAGAGATTTACCCGTATTCCTGTACTTAAATCACCTTTCATTTGTAACCCTGATACGTTCATCATTTGAGGACTGTTGCTCATCTTCTTTCTCCCTGAAATATTCCTCCACACATTGCTCCTCAAACTCATACAGCATCTTCAGCTCGTCCGGGGTAAGAATAAGCTCTTTATGAGGAAAAGACATATAATACAAACAAATATTTATCTCATGGTCTTTTACTACTCACTTGGAACACCTGCATCTTGATCATTTATAATTTGGTCTAATTATTTTATGAAACTCACTTAATCCTTTATCCTTTTCATCCAGTTCTCCCTCCTTTTTCTTACTACAGCGGCAGCAGAGTTTGCGAAAAAGGATGTAGAGGTGGCTAAAGATAATCATTGGTGGAGGCAGCACTGGCCTGTCATGGAAAGTCATGATGAGCTGATATCTCTGAAACTTCCACACCTGGTTCGAAATGGACTTAACCTCAAAGAATGTGTTGCTTTAATGAGAGAAAACACATAACAGTGAATCAGCGCCACTGAACTGTTAAAATATATTCACCAATGAAGACTTTTTTGTAAAGACCAATAGCCACAAATTGTTTGGATTTTACATGCTACAAGTGAAACAAGTCATCAAAACCATGAAATGGTAGCATTCTTACTTGAAGACAGCAATGAGCAAATTCACAAGCAGGATGTTGGCCACTAACAAATAACAGGCCATGATGGCCGGAGTCAGCCAGGCTCCAGGGATGCAGGGTGGAAGCTTTTTCCCATCCTCATCATATAAGTTTTCTCCACAGGGGGCTGTTTAAAAAAGCTTTCTTGTTACATTTTAGTACCAACAATCGATCTGTTCCGCATTCACAACAATTCCAATGCCGCTATACCATTAGTAGGGTTATTTTTCATGAAAACAGTGTTTATCATTGTGTCAAATGTTTATAGTTTTGCTTACGGTTTATTTCCATTGCGTAAACTTGAGCACATTCCAGAAGAGCAAGTATAGTCACAAACAGTCAGTTAGTGCAAGTGGAAACCAGAAACAAAAACAAAATATGCAGCAAGAATTAATCAAATCCAACATCTTAATCAACAGAAAGGCAGGATAATCAACTAGAAACTGCTGCAATGTGTATGGCAGAGTAATGGCATACAGCCTGAAATACTGAAATAACCACAATTTGACAACAAATTTTTCTGTTTCCAAATTTGAAAGTTACAAGACTGAATTCTCAAAAGGTTCCTAACACAACAAGAAAGGCACTAGGCATGATGTTATAGGGCAGGGATCCTCAAATCTGGCCCATGAGATCCACTTTCCTGCAGAGTTTAGCTCTAACCCTAATCAAACACACCTGAGCAAGCTAATCAATGTCTTCAGGATCATTAGAAAATCACAGGTAGGTGAGTTTGATCAGGGTTGGAGCTAAACTCTGCAGCGTATTGGCCCTCCAGGGCAAGATTTGAGGAACCCTGCTATAGGGGAAGCAGCAACAAACAGCAGGATCACATAGGTGATGGAGATATTAGTGAGGTGTTAGGAAGGTGGATCAGACTGTTAAAGGCCATCTATCTACCCTGGAGGCAGGAAACAAAATCTTACTATAAATTCTAGTCTTACGGTCTATCGAATCTGCAAACACCTCTCCATAGATCATCCAATAAGGCATGTAGAAGATGTTGCGAGCCAAGCGCCATGTGGGCTCCTCGTCTGGGTGGAGGATAGCCTGCCGTGCCACGCCGAAACTCATCAGGACCACCAACATGATCACCACAAAGTACAGCATGTCAATCATCTGCAAGGCAGGTGGCAGCTTATTGAAGTCAAAAGTCCATACAGTTGATAATCAAGTGTACAAGGTCTAAAGGTATAATAGATTTAATTAAATAAATTGCATTACCATTTTCCCAATCATCATGACGTAGGGTCCTAGGTACTTGTTGACTCCAAATATGTCCAGTACGCGGATATACCAGAAGATAATGTCCACGCAGTAGATCACACGGCCGTAGCCCATGTAAGGTTCACTTTGCAGCCTAAGTAGTAGCCCAAGCAAGAAGGTCGAGATGGCCGCCAGGTCTGTGATGTTCCAGTACTCTTCCAACCACACATTTATCTTTTGCCTGAGCTTGCCTGGTTCTGACATCAAAATCTGGAGGAGATAGTATCAGATATAGGCTACAAGCTGATTCTTTGTTATTGGGTTTGGGTTGATTGCACTATTTTTGCATCTATTTCTAGAGATGTGGCTGCAGTGGTGTTTTAAGGAGAGATTGACATCTTTACCTGTCTGACTTTCTCCAACCCCAAAGTGATGATGTATGAAATGACGATCCACTCTTGTAAGGATGGCCAACGCTCCATCTTCACCAGTACTATATAATTGTACAGCATAAGATAGCCAAGGTAGGAAATCTGTCCAATGCAAACCGATTTTGGATTTCAATATAGTTTTAGTTATTGTTTTAAAAATAATATAGTCAAATAAAATAA